TTCATGTAACAGTAGTCTCCCAACTTTCTGTCCCGTGTTTTTATGACAAGAGTTTTCCAGTTTGATCCGCAGTTCATTTTGCAATAGTTAGAGATAAATCATAGCAACGAATGGCTGAATAAACTTCATCCAAAATCATGTTTAGTACCGTTATAAATTCGATCGTAATCCTGATAAAAGATGTAAAAGACCACCTGATTCGTCTTTAATGGTGAATTTTATTATGGATGGAACCCGAAAGAGCTACTCTTATTATGTTTCGTAGATTATTTGTACGCACGTGGTTGGGAGGAATGATGAATAAAAGAAGGGGAAAACACAGTGTACACCAGCATCCATGAAACAAATTTTATGTGCCACGGCTAAGAATTTCCGGCTTGCACATACATTTAGGTACCCTGAAACAAATGAGGTATCGCAAGAGTTCTCCAAAACCATGCGTAGAATAATCAGTGATGCGAGTGAAACTACAACTTTTCAACTCGACGCCTAATTTTATTATCTTCATTTTGACAAACGAATCACTGACAGTCAGTATTTTATATTATTGTACTTTTGTCAGGGAATCGGTAATGTTCATAGCTGTATGAATGAGAGTAACTTCGTGAATTAGATAAATTTCCTTCCAGGTGATACAACCTAACTCGAATGCAGATTAAAAGAGTGAAGCAGATGTCAGCATATGCTGAAAAGCAAATAAACAAACATACACAGATGTCACGTGGCTGGATTGGATTTGGTCAAATTTCCGGATCGAACGATGTTGACGAGTCTCATAATTCATCATTTTTAAGGCACGGTTCATTTTAGATCAAACTGAACCCGTCGGAATTCCCCAGTGAACGCGAAACATCACTGTGATTGACTTCAATGGAAGGTACAAGGTTTGAGGATGAAAGCAGTTGAGTTGAAGCCACGTACACGTACACGTACACACAAACACGCACAGAGACAAACACGATTGTCGTCGCTTCGTCATTTGAGTGGAGTGTTTCTCCAGAAATGGCAAACAATCATATGATGCGCTAGATAAGGTACCCAGTCAACAATATCACTTAACTATGTCACATCAAACACGAGCTCTCTCTCTTTCTTTTTTTCTGGATGACCCGAAAACCAACAAAATGTTTTCGTCAGTTCTGTGCTTCAGGGCAGAAGAAATCTGCGCGCTTATCACATATGGCAAGCTGCTTGTCAACACTCATGCAGCGGTCGATAGAATACTCGTGTGTGATAGTGCTGCAAGAAAATCCTGTTTAACACATATTGTAGTTGTACAGATAATTGGTTTTAACTGTGAATTCGGGGTAGAAAACTTAAAAAGGTAAGGTACGATAAAGGGGTTGTAATTGTTCTGAGTGGACATACTGAAGAATTATGTGATTCTTCATTTTACCCCTAAATGGACGTTGCAACTCTACAATACCAGACAGTTTAAATTGATAGTCTTGACGAGCATAAACATGGTTGTACAAATAACGTAGAAAAGACGTACTAGAAATCTGGAAAGCACCGAAGAGTTGTTCTGACTCTCCGGCTTGTACATCACAGCTTATTTACCAGGGTAGAACAGCAAGTGTCAACCGAGGCCATGCTCAGTCTTCTACTAACGTTTGGTTCCACCACAAGGCTGCGAATTTCTGAGACAAAGACCCTAATTACTCGAGTCTATTTTGTGCTTATTTACTCTACTTCGTCTCGCAGATTAACATCCGCTGATCGCATGAATACACACATGAGTCACTGAGTTTAGGGGCTTCACCGATTAGGTTACCCCTGGATCCACAAACTCATTCAGACGAGCAATTTGTGCACACAATGTCGACTCGATTTGCACGTTCCACTTTACCGGGACGTTTTGCCTCTGGTTTCAAGTCAATAATGGACAATTTAGCTGCTCAAAGATAACATTGTGACCACAGAGGAGGCAGTGAGTATTCCAATAAAAAAACAACTCTAATGTGTACGAAAGTGGTTCGTGAAGACATGAAGCCTCTTATGACCCTTCGTTCATTTTATTATAACTCATCCATCCTCAATCATATTCATTCTGGAAGTAATATCTGATTTTTTGCATTCATTTGATTTTGCACAAGCAATCACCGAATTCTCACTTATCGTATTTAAATAAACTGCGATGTATTATCCACTAAATGTATGATGTATTATCAATAAAAAGAAATGGTGTTCGCTACGTTCCTTTCTCAGTCAAAATATGTGCTGGTGGTCTGCCGGGATAGTTCAACTCTTCTGTGTCTACTCAGAAGTGCAATTTGGTCAAGCGAACTAGGGACCGGACAGGTGGAACGCAAGCAAGCATACTACCCGGTCCACCAACTCAATGCATCCCATTAAGCTGCCTGTACACTATTTGGTTTAACCCATTTTTGCAAGGTTGTTACAGACAGCTAACATCGCTCCTCGTTTGATTAGTGTAAAACATTCTAAAATTTGCTAGTTCTTCCAGTTTAACAAGCTACACGGTGGTCAAGTGGAGGATATGATTGAACTCTGCTTATGAAATCTCATTTTTATCCCCAGTTGGATTCAAATTGAACTGCTGGGATCCATCAAGTCCAAGAAAAATGTGCAACGCTTTATGGTATTTCAGTTCATATTTCATTAACTTGTGGACAGCGAAACAGTTGCGAAAGTAAAAATCGTGGAATTGAAAAATTAATGCAATCCAGTCTTTCATGTAGCATCAACACATCACACATGATGGACTGGATTTTGAGTGGATGTGACGAGCTAGTCCAAACACCTCCCATTGCAACAGATTATGAACAGTACAATTTAAGTACAATTTGATTTGCAGGATGTTAACTGATTTGAAACTATTCCCAATAATACAATTAAATAACCGAAAACGGTCGGTGAACTAAAACAAACATAAAACGGATAATTTTATTTGATCATTCTAATCCGCAGTTAGTTCAATCAATTGCATACTGATGAGGCAACAGACCAGGGTTTCACTCTGTCGTGAAGACTCATGTACACTGCCGCATATGGGATTTGAACTCCAGACGCCTGTCACTAATGAGCCAGTAAGTTGATATCGGGGCTGGGTTGAAAATCGAATGCTTTTTTTGTTCAGAGCTAGTTAGTCATTTTTGGTTCGACAAGTTCAATTACAGCCATTACCCGTTAATTCCAGTCAAATGTTCACAGCAGATCAGGTCATCCTAGACGGCTGGGGCACTTTCGTTGTATTTTAACTGCTAGGTTTGCTTCAATTGTCATTCATCAACTTACTAAATATGAGTCCTAACAGGAGAAATTTCAGGTCTAGTGGCTTCTAAGTAAATGGGTGATCGGATCAACTGAGAATTGTGGTTTGAAGAATAGTAAGTTTGGAACAATAGAACATCACATCCCCATCCACCAAAAATTATAACTTGAAAGTAAGCTTGATTAGTAGCAAAAAGAAAGAGTTGACCGACGCCAAAACAGGATATTATATTTTTGAAATACAGCAGGCTGACATTCATGGCACCTAATAAATGAGGTCAGATCAAACAAGTTCTCGTTGATCGCATTGACATCGATAGAATGGTCAATGTAGGTAAATAATAACCAGAAGCACGCTCAACGCGCATAGATCACAAAATGGCAAGCGAGACAAACTGAACAAAATTAGGGTACACATGTTTTGACTGACGCCACGGTTAGAACCAAGTTCACCTGACAGCGAGAGAGAATTTGCGATGCCTTTTTAGTGGCGAGGCTGATTGAAGGCATAGTACTACTGACAAGATGGCATATTTAGAAAACAAGACGAGATCTGTCTTTTTAGCCCCATGGTTGCAAGGCAAATCCTGATCACGATGGTATCACTGCCCAAATGAATGTTTCGCATCATAAATCCACATATGCAACATTGAAATACGACAAAATGGTGATTTTAGCTGATGAGAAATACCAATCTTGATCTGATTATAGCAGCGAAAATAAGGACTGATTCAGTGCTGGTCAAAGCAATTCAATCTCTCACCGATAACAACTTATTTTGGCCTAGTTTGTATTTCTGAGAAGAGAAATTTATCTGCCAAACGAAAACGGCTGTTCGTGTCAGAGCCAGTGATCACTTATGTGGACTTGGGACGACTCATTTTCTTATCTACCTTTTTTGTGCCGTCACTTCGTACAGAAATTAGTACACTGCACGACTGCAACTGTATCGTTTGCTTTGATGCAAAGTTGTGGAAGGCATGATAAGTATTGCATGCGAGGTCTTAGGCTGGTGCAACCTCACGTAGCCACGGACAGCACTGAATGAGTTGCCAAAATATAAAAAAAGGATAGCTCGCATATTGGAGTGGAAAACAAATGCACTATTCGCGCTCATCAGGCAATTAGATCACGAAGCTTGCGTTTATCAGCATTGTAACACGAAATCCTTTAGAGACTTTTTAGGCGATTCCCCAAGAAGGTTGATGGTGCGGAGTCTACGCGGGTGCGGATTCACGCAGCCGAGTTAGGCGTTCAAAAATCTGTTATCGAATCCCAATTCAGTTTTGCGAATTAGTAAAATATATTTAAGAGCAAGAAAGATTATTTTGAGGTCGGATTCTCTGAAAACATTTTGAGGGTTCTCGGCTAATTTCAGTTTTTCATACGTTTGCTATTGAACTTTTCCTACATCAGAAAAAAATCCCCCGTCTCTTAAGAGGGATTTTGATTTAAGATTATGCTTTTTACAACTATCAGCTAGTTTCAAGTCAGATTCCAGTTTTGGCTAAAGTTGACTCAATTGTCATTCAGGCATATTTGGAGGATAATACGAAAACACTAGCTAAATGCTCGTCGTTTAAAACAGCAGTGAGGTGACCGTTCCTATGGAGAAAATGTCCAAATAAACTTTCGTGGTGAAATGAAGAATCCATACTCGTCCGACACTTCTAAGTTCGAAACCAACTAGAATTCAAATTACTAGAAAAAAAGTTGAATGATAAAGCACTGATCAACGACAGTCAATAAACTGTCTTGTGGCTTACCCAGTTTTTGAAAAATAAGTTGGATCTGATTATCCTTTGATTCTCCAGGAAACGGAGTTCGTCCCACGGCCATTTCGTAGAATATACACCCGGCTCCCCAAACGTCAATATGACCGGAATAATTGCGGTCCCCTAGAAGCACATCCGGGGGTCTATACCTGACACAGAGAAACAGTTGGCAAGCAGATTAAATAACTGAGATAGAAGACGCGAGGCGTAACTCAGCCATTTGTGGTATACGAACCTGACATGTCGTGATCAAACATCATCCCGTTTGTTAGAATGAATGAATTTGGATTTGCATTCACTAAATTGCTGTGATCGAAAAAAAATCATAAATACATTTGAGCACCATTGGGAACAATTGTTTACCCTATCCCAGGAACCATGAAGCATATGGACAACGGTTTCGAATCTCGATACGCAGGCTCGAGTCCCAGCAGCTGTCCAATGTTTTATGTTGACCTTCACACCTTGAAATCTATAGCTGTCTGCTGTGGGTTCTTCTGTGCAACGCTTGTTTGTTGTGACAGTTGTGAACGTGATCAAACGAATGCTCACAAAACTGGTATCAGACGTTTCTTCTTTTCTTGCTTATCCACGTTGAATTTAAGTTTAACCAAAGCAATTAGTCAATAGGTGACTGCAATGCACTAGTACGCTTGACCTTTTGACTTAGGAAAATATTGCAGAAAAGCATAAACCAATGTCTCGCGAATAAAGGTTTGAGAAAATAAAATCATGATTCCTTTATCACATTTTTGTAAAGGAACGATTTTCTCAGATCCCACAGAACCTACTTTTCACACTTTCTTCCGAGTTAACCCCAAATGTGAGAAAGAAGTACAGATTTTTATATGTACGGCATCTCTTTGGTTGTCCGTTTTCCCCTTCCTGAAAGTTGTTTGTATCAGTTTATGTCGGTTCGATAAAAGGAAGTAAAAAGGCCAAAAATTGTTTTGAAAATCTGGGAAACTAATGGAATCCTAGCGTATGAGGTTCACGCCAGAGGAAAAAACATAGACTACTAATTCCGTTCTGGTCCCACACTACCCGGTGGGTCGGGAATAGGCAGCACATTATGGAAAGAAAGAAATACAATCATGGTTCATTTGCGTTTCATTCTCAAAATTTCTAAATGTTTTGTTATGTTTTCAGGGAGACTGGGAGGCATCAACTCTTCACAAATGGAATTAAAAACTGAGATCTACAATGTTCAGTGTGGCCGAATGCTCATTGCCACCGTATGTTACGCTGCGACCTTTAGTCAGTTTATTTGACAACATAGCTATTCTCAAAAGATCTCGGTGAATTATTACTTCTCCATGCTCTTTCAAACAATCCAGTTATAAGCCGACACGACTAAAGTCGACTTCTTTACTTTTGCTGTCCCTTCGAGACGCAGTTTAGTCCATGGCGACAGGTTTGTCTGTTTGGTGCTTTTTGTCTTCCCGATTTAGACAATAGAAGTTTCCGGACAATAGGCTGCGACTTAGCTGGTGTAAATCGTGTCTCTCTCATGCTCGTTTACACCTTCATCTAACTATCATGTGATCATCACATCAAAGTCAGTGGAAGGATTGCAAACAAGATTATTACCGATACCACACCTTTATGGTCTTCGGATTCAATTCCATTGCACTCCCGTCGATCAAAATGTTCCCGATGCTGACTTGTTCGGTTCAGCCTGAACGTTTACGGTGAAATCCGCAGAACTGTTGTCAGTTATGCTTACCTAGGCTGAAACGAAGTGCTGCATTTCTGAAGAATCTGTAAGTGAAAGCAAAGTTTTACTTTTGGTTGTTGTTCGCTTTGATCCATATTTTTACATACAGTTTTTACGTAGTGAACACTCGGTGAATTTTGCATGGTCCATTGGTTGCCTGAGATGTAAGTTACTTCGTCTTCAGGTATTTACAGCTACGTGTTTTTCTATACAAAGTTGAAATAAACGTGATTTGTTCACTGAGGTTAAACTGGAAAGAACAACGTCTGTTAAGTTCCATAGTGGCATATGGAAAAATGAGGGAAGGGGGACCAAGGTCAATTCTGGACATTTCCGATGACATTTTTCACGTGCGACGTGTCATGCCATGTTGCGTAATCACAATGTGAGTTAGGCTATGATTCGGTTCGTCACGTAGGTTGGAGCTCGGCCAAGGTAACTGGAGTACGGCTACCATTTTTGTCTGTTTGTATAATGGCGGGTCCAGGATTTTGATTTCTACTGCTTCCACCATTGTTAACTGACGTTGCCGAATGTGCTTCCTTTTCTTTTGGGGTACTTTTCAGATGACTTCAAACGCACCGTTGTTTGTGCCCGGTATCGAGGTGGTACATAATCGCATTGGTTATTGTTTTTTTCCAATCCATGCTAACCCGAGCCACTTTAACTAATCTGATCCTTTGTGAAAACTGTTTGATCGTCCGTCCTGCATAACTTGCCGAACATGTGCAAATGAAGTAATTGGTAATCATGTATGAGGAGAAGATGAACAGCTTATTTTTGAGGTTTGCTACCGAGGGTCAAAATCGCACACGGAGTGGCTGGTGGATAACTTCGTGTGGTTGCTTTTTCTAAACGTTTTCTCAGTAAATCACCGCTTCCATTTTCTTTGAACAGGACCTGAAAGCGCAATTCTCTTTTTGACCTTGTTTGTTTTTGGTAATGTGGGCTTTTCTAAAATGTTCTTCTCGATAAAACGCTCCGGATACCCTTTATTTCACAGTTGGGATTTGATATTTCTTAGTTATCCCTCTACTAGATCTTTAGTGTAAACCATTACGGTTTTAAAAGCCAGAAATTGTACTAAGTCTCTTTGACATCTGATTGGGATGACACTTCGAAAATGAATGTATTGACTGTTTCATGTTGGTCTGCGAAAACTCTAATGGTATTTCTTTTCATCAGGTCCCTTCTTGAGGTAACCATCGAGAAAGTATAACGTATCCTGATCCTCTGTTTCAGCCGTGAAAACCTGATTGATGGATAAACTCGATTAAAATAATCCGGTATTATGTTTGGAAAAATGCCTTGATCGGAAAGGATTAGAATATTGTCGACATAACGGTAGTATAGTAGGGTGGAGGGGGTAGTGATTGATTTCCCGAAGTTCTTTGTTTGAACTTCGCGTTTGATCGATCACTTTTCCCGGCTAGATGCTCGTTGCTTTCAATGAATATTGTATCGGTTAGATCCCCAATAGATTACAACGCCGAGCCGTGCATACAGCGATTGTCTCTAGCCCCTTCACACTATTGACAGGTTCGCTCTCGTAACATTTCATTAAATGATGATCGACTATTGACCCCCCCCCCTGTATACACTTGTTTTGTACCGAACTTATTTTCAACGCTCAACTGCAGACGGAACTGCACGCGCACTGCGCTGTTAAATCGGACGTATCTGACAGCCGTAAACGACAGCTAATTGTGATCTGTTTTTGTTTTGCAGTTGTCATCTCATACTTGAATAGTTGAAAACATAGTATGACTTTATTTGGGCTTGTCAGTTTTCCCGAACTTGTCTCACGAATTGTCTCACCGTTCCTGCAGCTTCAATTTTCGAGAGAATCTCGTTGTCTATCAACCTCAAGATTCCCGTCAGATTCAGCAATTAAAAGCATGCACAGAGCCATTGTTTTCTTTAAAATCTGTGATTGTATGTGAAAATCAGACCGAAAATAGAATATAAAAACGGAATATAGTAACCTGTTTGGAAGGGATATTTTTCAGTGATGGGTGAACCAGGATATTTAATCTGGAGAAAAATTGAAAAGTTATCAAACAAGCACGCGAAGATTGGATATACCATAAACGTCTGATCGGTTGACCAATTCGATAACAGAATTAATTTACGAACAAAGAATAGACGATGAATTTTTCAGATCTTTTCAGATATTTCACTAAAATTAAAATTAAAAAATTATTTAATTCCCAGAATAAATTATCTACATTTGCAATTAGAACAGAGAGAGAGAGTGAACAGTTGATTATCCGTCTTGGTCGAACCAGGGGTGTTTTCAAAACAGTTGGGCGACAGCACTAAAACCCTCGTTTTTGTGTTGGTCCTCGAACCTCTCTCTAGCACAAAGAACGCTTGGTTATTGAGATCGTAAATTCAGCTAGAAATGACCTTTAAAACGTTTCGGGATGTTCGTTGCTCCCTCTCCCTCCGTTATCCAAAAAGAAGAAAACTAGGTCTAAATTGAAACTGATTCCACCTGTATTTGACCAGCTGACTATCTGGCAAAAGCACACAAACGCCGAGGAGTTCGGAGTAAAAATAACTGCGAGAAATAGAGAAGGGAAATGTTGGGGAAACTGCGTAAGTTGTCGAAAAGAGACAGAACTTAACCCAAGCTGGCAATCAAATTTATTGCATCATCGAAGTTTGGCCAGAGCATATGTTGTACTCGATGAATATTCGCGACAAATGTTGAACAGTTCAACGCAATTGTCCACAACAACTGTGGCAAATTTCTGTTTAGGTGAACTAGGAAGCGTTCCAGAATAACGATAGAATTTCCGCTTGTTTGAACATACAATACAAGGCTTATTTTAATAAGGGAGAAGGAAAATAAGCAAAAATTTACTTGAATTTTGTGAAGTGAAAAATGATTGTTTCATGGAGTACTACGATACACCTTAACCATATTTTTGCCTTATAGTGAGCAGGAAATGAAAACCTGTAATTCTGACTGTTATAATTTGAATTTATTCAAACATTCAAAACAAGGTTATTCAATTCACGTATGGATTTTTCATTCATTCGAATCCATGAAGTAATTCAATTCTAGTAGAGCCTAGGATATTTAAACAATTAATGTTGTATAAACGAGAATGGGAGACTTTATCGATTGTCTATTTTCCATGTTACCGTTTGTTATTTTGATACCATTTCACTAAACGTTCAGTAAATTTCTGTTTGTTTCCACTTTTCATGTCCGAATCCCGCCATAAAGTCAACACACCCACGCGCACACCTTGCGGTAGGATTCAATTAAATTCACTGACTTCGTTTTTGATGAGGATTAATTGCTCTTCAGACGGAACAAAGCTCACAGTGTCGTCGGCTAAATAAAAGCGGTGAGAAATATCCGCGAACATTGCGCATGTTCACAATGAATACTATGTTCGAAAGTATGGACATTGCTTTTGGCTGAAAACGGTAGTTTCGGTGACTGTGTGCCTAACAAAAACACGTATTGAGGACATCAATTTTCAATCCGGTGTCACTGGGTAGTCCCTTTTCCAAACTGTCTCGAGTGTGATACTCCCGATTTTGGAATATGAAAAGTTTCACAAACGTTAAGCATTCGGTCATGCAACTTAATAGATTTGAGTGAATAAAAATAATTACTCTTAATATTCCGAAATCTTTTCCATAGGCGTCTTTCGATGCTTTCATTTTGTACGCTATCAAAGGGAGCAAAATTAGGAATAAACCAAATCCACGATAACATCATTTTGAATGGATTTTGAGAACTTCCACTGACATGTTGCGTTCGACGGCTCCTCTAATGGGTCATGTGGTTAAGCTTGGCATTGGTGTAGGAAACTTAAAGGTGGGAGTTCCTGATTGAATAGAAGAACAGAAGATCCTCAGATGCTCCGTGTATCCCGATACCGTACCGTTCAGTGAGGAACTGATAGAAGAATTGATATATCCACATGACACCCGCTCTGTGACAGCTGAGACAGGTTGAACCATCCAGACGTTGAAGAATAACCCAATTCATGTCTAACATAGTGTCACTTATCACATTCCTGGAAGACAAACGAAGAGGCTTTTCCATAAGGGCTGCAAACAGCAATAAGTTAAGTTGGCCCAAGCTGAAAATAGAAAAACCACAATGCAAGGTAAACTGCCCAACCTAATCTGTTGTGAAGAATCAATGACTGAGTCAGTATGCAACTGCACTCGCGGGTCATTTGTATATCCCATGAATAAACTGTTTTGCGGACCACTTGATGGAGAGGAAACGTAATCAGTCTGTTCAATAAATGACGCTTAGAATGCGAAATATTAGTCATGCAATCACCCAGGTGAACTGATGATCGGTATAAACTTTAATGTAACTAGCTTTTTCCAGTGAATTCTTGACGGTGAAAACAAGAGTCATGACGCGCAGAATGAATCATTTATTATTTTTTTACTTTATTTTTATTTGTTTGATTATTCACAATGTCCTTCGTGATATTCTTTACCTTGAAGGTCGCCTACACATTTCGATAGGGAGGATACTGAGGAATGCGTTTGGAACGGCTTATTTCTTCAACATTCAAAACGACCGACAAAATCACCAAAAGGCGCTATGTTGAACAACTTTTTGGAGCCACGTTTAGGATACATTGTAGATTAAATACGAAAATAAGTGATCAGTATGATGCTTTCTGTTACCAGTACGTCTGTCGTTGTTTTTTTGTTCCGGAATCTAACGAAAAGATGCATTCAAAGAATGCATTCTTCTCTATATTTTCGAGTACACCGTTCTCCATATTGCCAAGCGCTCCTGTCTTTCAAAATGTTATCAACAATGTAACAAAGGGTTTGACGATGTTTAAGTGGATAGTGGGCAGGATTAGTGGACTAAACCTAATTACTGGGATTCTCACATATATTTGTTCTTTGAATGCAAACCGCTGTTAAAAACAATGCCTCTCAAACTGCGCCCATTTGACATCAGATGTCTTTTACTTCCCTTTTCTATTTACAGAATATATAAATGTACAGTCAGCTTTTAGGAATGGGGGCTGCAGCCATACAAAGGCTGCCTGGGGAATATACAGATATAGGAAGGACGGGCGGCGGTGGAGCGGTTTGAACCCCGGACACCCAGGTCGCTAGTTGGTGACCTAACCACTTGGCCACCACCGCCCAGGTAGGGCAGGAGCATAACTTTGAACTACAATCCTTGCGTGCAGCAATAAAATTCAACTATTATAAATTTTTATTATTTGAAAGTCCCTTCTATCATCTGTGCATTTTATTTGCTGGTACCTATTTTGTCTCCACCAACTGACGTCTTGCTACCGAACTGTTTGGCTAGCAAACAGCGTTGTTCAGTTTGCTTAGCCGTGCTCGGACTCATCGGCAGTGTGTACTGTTCTCTTATCCGCGGAGGGGCTCTAATGACAAATGTTCGTTTTCGGAGGCTCTAGACGTACCCCTGAGTTACACTCTCGGTAGGATTATTTGAATTCACTCCACTTTTTAGGGCTCAACGTAAACAAAACAAAGTGATTACTTGTTTGGTTGACATTAAAAATGAAACCAAGTTGAAAATATTTGTGTTGATGTTTCCTCTGTTTTGCACCGTTATCAGGAGATTCAAAGTTTTTAAATGGATTTTACACTAAGAATAAATTATTTTTCGAATCGCTTCAAAATAAATAGTCTTTAACTGATGAATAGAACATGCTCACAAGAGATATTCTGATGGCAGAATCCACAGAAAAATTACTGATTCAGGCAGTTTAGGAAAGCCCTGAGCATTTTGTATTCATTCACTGTTGAATTGTTTAATGCATGCTCCGTAATCTGAAATCACTCTCAAAGCGACTTGAAAACTTCAAAAACGAAGGAAGATGCTTACAAGCATGGCAAGATGAACTTCACTTTCACATACAGATTAAAGGAGTGAATTATCTGATTTTATCAGCTAAAGTATTTCAATGCAGTGTTCATAATTTTATCAGTTTTTCTGAAACCATATCAACCAGAAAATAGGGAAGATGGTAGGGAAAACTCGGGAAGAAAATTAGGTGACATCAAGATAATAGTCATTCTTTCATTCAAGATAGGTTTATAACACCTAAATTGGATACGCACGAATTTCGGTACCGTCCGTTAACACATTCAAAATATGTTGAGTTGATCGGTAGACAGGTGTGTGAACAAACTAACACAAGCAATCAAGTAGAAGCACGATTTTATTGCCGTCATTCATTGAAAATTAGTTCAAATTTGAAAAGACATTATTCCCGAGACGAGCCAATTCTATCAAGATTGGTAAACAGGAAGAAACTGTACCAATTGACTAACATCGCAGTTTGATTGATTGTAGGAATCGATTGCAGATGCAAAAACTGATTCCTCGTGGTTGACAACTGGCACTGGACGGTGGGAGACTGGTTTGCATCAAATTAAGTTGACTGGTGTGTTGCGATGGAGCTGTTTCTACCGACCGGATTTGTTCAAACTGATTCAGACCGACAAGAAACAACGGACTTATTCAGTCTGAAACATAATGAAGCTGATTAGATATGTATTTATCACACTGATGTCTCAATTCGATCTAATTGGCACGGAGTTAAATTTATTGATCCGGAGAATACACGTTCCACGTAGACAATGCAACTGCATTCATCAGATTGCACCATAGCTATCGCTCGTTCGGACTTACCACAAAGTGGCCACTTCGCTGGAATACGTTTTTGTGGGAATTGATTTGGCCCGAGCAAGTCCTAAAATGTGTGTTTATGAGGGGGACAAAGGAGAGTATGCAGGAAACAGTAAACTAGAGTGTGAAAATTATCATTCAACGGCAAAAGTACAAATTTCCGGAGATAAACTGGGCGTTCACTCCTTTACATGATTTCTATTATGACATACACCGTTCTGAATGGGGTTTGTGCTTAACGTTTGGACCAGATGTCATCACTAACTGGTTTACATCATAATACAAATATATGTATATATATGCATATATGCATATATGCAGTTATTAATGGATAAACGTTTTCTTAGAATTTTATTTTCTTGGTTAATATGAAAATTCAAATGTATTGAACGTTTAGTGTTTGAATTGTTTCCGCTTGAGGGGATTTTGTCTGGTGACTAGTTGGTGTTCATTTTGCAGTATCTGTATATTGCCTTGCTAGGTAAAAACACCCTGATGATTGCGTAACGGCATTAAAAACGAACAGGTTGAAGATGTCAACAGCACTACTAACGGTTCCTATCCGAAACATGCACTTTCATAATTTCTCGCCGAAACCATACCACTTTAATCGCAAACAAGCGTGCGTCTCAGAAAAAGCCCGCTTATTCTGACAACAGTTCATAAAATCCATGTCAAACGAATAGTTTATTTTAGATGGTCTATTCAATCATATCATTGATTCGGGCTACTATTTAACAACTGATGATAGAAGTTTGAAAATTCACCAAATTGATTCAGCAACATAATAGTTGAAGAAAACATAACGTATTGAATAAAGTATTGATAAATTGATGCATGAAGAATCCCAGCAACCAAAATTATTATCAATTTCGTCAAAACGGGTAAGACTGGTTTCAATTGTATCGAAATAAACATATCTACCTATATCAATGAAATGTTAAAAAACAATAGAAGTCACAAGTGACTATCAACCATCGGGTATAACACCTGATTTTATCCCAATGGGAAGTTAAATGTTCATAATAGTTCATAATTCATGAACAATTGGCTCCCATCAATACACTTCACACATAACAAATTTACTGACTGATCACTTTGTTTTATGCTTGTTGGTTTGACTGCTTTCGTAGACCTTTTCTCTGGGGTCCTAGTAACACACGATATATTAGGTCTGATTACTAGTTATCCACAAACATGGTGAAACTATTAACCATTCCAAGCCAGTATAACGTGTTGCAAGACAAATAAGTTTGTCTTGCTGCTGATGAACCCAATGCAATTGACATCGCGATTAGTAAAGCTTTCATTTTATTAACGTGAATGCAGTCTCAAAATATCAATAAACTAGTGTCATGAGATACTACTCATAATTTTGAGTAGTATGCAAAATAATGCGGTTGACAATTTCCTTCAACGATCAAAAATCAACATGAGCACCTAGAGCGATATGCTGTGCCCAAAGAATTACTACGAACTGCTCCATCCATTACTCTGTGTGCTGTCGTGAATTGTGATGACATGTTTCAAAGGAGATATTTGTTATATGCATGCCAAATAATTGATATCCTAATTGTAATCTGCAAAAACAAACTATCCTCGACCAGGCACCGCCTTGTGGAACAATAACTCTAGTACACAGGATCGAACAGGTATCTAACGATACCAAAATGAGGTCGTTGACACCGAGTGTCCATAGATGGCAGTTATTTTATATATGATATCTGAATGTCCCGCTAAAGATTTCCTGGAAGATCGGGACTAGTTTCGCTTTTTTCCATTCGGTAGATAAGCATAGGTATATGACTTAAAAACGAAGTACACCCATATACAGATAGATACCTGAAGAGCGACAACGATCGAAAAGCTGGTCGTGACATTACAGGGACATCTTCCTGCCATTCAGTTATATTATATTGTACAGTATTCCGGTAAAGGCAATTAAGTCACATTTATTACGGTTATTGGCATCCAATTCACATTAAGCACATCCAATTAAATTAATAATTCATAGATAAACTGGTTCATAAAGCCTGTCCTAACAAATATTTGTAACGTTTCAAATTACGCGTTTGTATTAGAGATACTGACTATATTTCGGACTGCATCTGTGCATTTCTAATAATGTTCAATACAGAAGCAGCTCTGTCACCCGCGTGGCCGTAGCAAACGGAAGCAAATGACATTTATATCAACTTGTTAATTACACCACACTGCACTGGTTGCAACTTGCGGATAGGTATAGGACATCATGAGACAACGCAAATCAGTTCAACGNNAATATAGAAACGAAACTCATCCACTTCATCGAGTGCACAAAATATGTTTATTCATTTGTAACTACAGTTGTCAAATACGGTGTGATATTATAATGCGTTGAGTTAGAATCTGAAAACCAATTTAATGCAACATATGTGCTGCGGTTACTAATTTGAAAGTTAGCTTTTATGCAGTAGTCAGTTGTCGGGAAAAAAACTATGCTGAAAACGTATTCAGATCATTTAAAACACAATGTCCAAAACTGAAGCAGAAAGTTGCCGACCAGTCGGCCGTGAATCAGCTAGTTTGATAAACTCACCTAAACTTACAATATTACTGAAAATTACTGAGTGGGATACCAAGGTGATGATCGAGAAATCAGAAAATGTGCGGCTCCTTTCGGAGTTTACTGGCAAATGAGCTACAACCGGTACTCCTAATAGACGCCTAACAATGGATTGTTGCCCACAGAGTATGTGCAAAATAATGCAGGAAGATCAGCTATTCCGTGACGAACAGTATACTTGATTTGGGATTGGTCCGTGTGTGCCGGAATTCGACTACGCTAGCGTTAACAAGCAAGGATGAGGCAACCGTTTTAGTTACTTTTTATTTACACTTTTCCACCGGCTCAGTTCTAAACGCTCAATATTACACATTTCTTCAAACCGGTTAGGGGAAAACAGTACGCAAACCAAATCAATAGTCGATATTGCGAGCTTAAACCCTAGTAATGAAGAATAAAAATAAGATAACCGAACTTAACAAGTGGTGTTGCTATTTATCACACGAATTGTTGAATACTACTGATTGCACCGTATGGTTAGTGTTGCTTTTGAGACATTAGATGCAGTATCAAGTAGTATCAACTTGGGGGAACAATAGGACCGTAGAGCCAGAACTATGTTCTGTGCAATAGCAAATGGACAGATGGAACATACACTGCCAATGTTACCCTAACCGAAATGGGGGAGGGGTGTAAAGCAAAACGAATACTGCGTTTCAAGCTTACCGAAATCGGCCAGCTTCAGCTCCTGCTGTTTCGTTATCAACAGGTTTTGCGGTTTTAGATCCCGATGGAGAATACGTCTAGCGTGACAGAACTCCAAAGCGCGAAAAATTTGAAACATGAAAAGTTTGACTGTTTTTAATGGAAGTCGATTTTTGTAGGATTCCATGTAATTTCGCAAGTCCTGGCCCTGTCAACAAAAACAAGTGTAGCAATTAACGAAACAGTTTGGAAGGATGAATCGCGTGGATAGCTGGTTGAAAATTATTAATTTGCGAGTTGCTTGTTACTGGAAAAGATAAAAACAGCAAAAAAAGACTGCGAACTGTTCAATGCGAGTGGTACAACTCCCATACGATATAAATCATCTGACTAGGTGCTCATGTGTTAGTGTATCTACGTAAAAGCGGTAAGTTCTTATTACAATAGATCTCACAACACATAAGTCGTAGACCAGTGTACTCGCTTTCCTCCCAACTGATATATATATATATTTACATATACTTACATAATAGTAGATTAGTGAAGAATATATCCAGTATCAATTGAATCAATTCACAATCAAGTGCACACAGATTGCTGTGGAATGCAGATGTTTTCGCCGCTAGGGCGTGAAGAAAATGATACTTCTCGGAGAGCGCCTAACCACAGCACATCCGCGTACCACGAGAAATCCTCAGTCAGCAACCTAGCTTTGTTGTGCTCTTTCTTCAAACTCCAAACGCATTGGCGGAACTAACACCACATACACTGTGACCCTGAACTGATAAACTAGGTTCCCAAAGCTGCAGTCAAGTCAAGAAACGATTTATGCAAGTGAAGGGTGAAGTTTCAGCAATTCACGAATTTGAATAGCGGACGTTTATGGATATAAATGACAATAGACATAAATTCGACACTGTAGTGAAAGAAAAAGAATTAATGCAAGTGTCATTCCTTAAATTGGAAAACGATACGGAAAACGTACGGGTAACTAAAACAGCAGGGAAGGTAAGCAGGGACATTGTTTCTGTAGGATGTGTTTGCAAAAACGAGTTGATATTTGGAGTGCGTTCGAGGATTTGAAATAGCTTCCATGAATTGGAAATAGAAACGGTGCCTTTAGTTAGGCTTTATTTTGTCAATAAACCGAGCACGAGCGTCGAACAAAGTGTAAACAGCGGAAACTTAACGAAAGAAAAAGCTATCGATTCTTATTTATCGGGAACAATATTTAACTATCTTGATAACAAGATGAAATTGTGTTCTCTTCAACCAGAGACAAATACAAGGGAGCGGCTTAATCAATTTTAAAGCATGCGGGCGATGACAAATTTGAGAATAATGTCATCTGGTAGGAATAGTTTCCCGATCCCGTGTGTCTGAAAGGTTACTCGTTGAACTTTAGTAAAAAACGCCACCAATATGAGTAAGTGAGAACATATGGTGGATGAGAAGGACACCGAGGTATTTAGCACAATCAAATTTAGAGCAAGGATACTTTGTTCAGCAGACTGTTTACCGGAGGAACTGAAAAGTATAAAGCAAACACTAACAACGGTTATCCGAAACTATTCGTTCTGAAGAATTTGACAGAACGGCCTCTGAGAGAACCAGTGGCAATAGTTAGAAGGAAAGAACTCTTCTTAAGACTTCCTTTTAAATAAGCTTATAAGTCTGAGTTACTAAGATGTCGACTGGAAAAGACCACCCCTGCTGCAACGCCACGTACTCAATTTACAAGCCGACGAATGGTCTCCGTAAATCTTTAAAATATAATTCCTATCCTCTCCTCATCTATGATCATTCACCATTTCCTTTGCTCATATTTGGCAGCTTAAGTAGGAAAAAAGATCAGGCATTTGTCGCAAAGAACCAAGGAGTACAAGCCGGTGTTGCTGATTATGATGATAAGAAGAACAACTACCAGTGCAGTTTTAGAACACGTTGCAGACACGGGTCATCAACCAAAAAGGACTCATTCAAGGTGATCTACACATACGAGCAAACCCATCTAAAGCTGTGCGTCAATGGCACCTTGTTACAGCCGAGGCTATTCGCCTACTCAATCCATCCCTTTGTTCTCAAAAGCGGTTCGTCAAGTCACTTCGCTTACCCTGGCCTCAATCTAGCCAAGGTGATCGAAACGACCGTGACCTTTGTCGTGACCCATGGGCACAGACCAGGAATGGAACAGCTCACTCTATCCAGCGACTGTGACCGTTTCCAAACCACACAAGAACAACATAAAAAACTATCCTTTCATTTCCAAACCACGTATCACAAGATCACAATCAAACAATCATATTCATCAAATCAGCTCATTACAGAAATTTGATAATTTTGAATCCTATATATAACTGTATTAGCCCGAAGAGGAAGTTACCGAAAACAAGCTTTGGTCGCTACAGTGTTTTCTTAATGTCACGATGGGAGTATTCAATGAATTTAGAGATGTTTTGACTATTGCTCATAGCATCAGAGAGATTACTTAACAATGTAAAAAAACATGGAGCGATTTTTCGACGGAAGGAAGAATTGATGCTTTTATTGACGTTAATACTTGTCTGATTTGCATACAATAATCTTGGCTGAACCCTCATGTTGCGTTAGTGTCCATTGACGGATTTAACTTGTACCAACAGGACAGGGAATCATGTGGCAAGAAATCCGGTGGTGGTGTGGTTACCCACGTCAACACTTCGTGGTGGGGCAAGTCAGATGCCGTTTACTCATACTCAAGTAACGGTAATGATTGTTTATCTCTTCACTATTNCAACATTCTTCGACTAATTTTTACCTTTTCTTGTACCACTGCTTGAGGATAACCTGCATATGATTGTAGGTGGTTTTAACCATGCCTCAACCCGGCCTCTTACTGCTTTTGATCTAACAGAATAATGCGTTTCACCGACCAGAGGTAACTCCGTTTTAGACAGAATTATAACAAATCACCCCCAGTTCTTCTCTCTTCATCTCCGTGCACTCGTATCAACCAGTGACCATTGTCTTCTTCTTCTTAGACCTAAGATATATTCCCGTTCTGCCTTCCATTCATTTAG